CAACAAGGTGGGCTGGCTTTGTTTTCATGCAACGGCCTGGTGCGACAGGGAGATAGACAGGGGCATTCTTTGGGTATCCTGCGTACCGATGTTGTAGTCGATCCGATCCAGGACGGAGCCTTGGTCGATGACGAGCTCCCCGAGCCGTTTCATCACGTGGGCGAGCGCTTCGATTCCCTCGGCGATACGCGCTATTTCCGAGTCACGCTCCTGCACCAGCGCGTCCGCGCTCTCAAGCACCGTCACTTGGGCTTGTCGGAAGCCGGTCTCTGAACGATTGTCCGGCACTAGGACTGGTTCCCCGCCTTCGTCCTTGTCCAAGAAGGCAAACTCACCCCCGCCCATCGCCCCCTCCTTCTGCGCCCGGAGCTTTTTCAGGTAGTCTTTTTGCTGAAACCGGAACGCGTGTGAGAGCCGTTGCGTCTTGGAGGCCATGGATCGTTGGAGATTGCGACGTACTTTGACCTGTGCAAGGGGGCGTGGAGGAGGGAGGGAAGGAGGAGAGGAGGGGTGACACGCTCGTTCCGATGGGGCAGCTCCCCCCAATGTCCTTTTCTCTGCCTCCACCCGCTGGTACCTCGGCGTCGCTTTCACCCTCCATCTGGCCCCCCACAGCGGTTAATTTTCTTTCCACGACCCGGAACTGCTCCGTAATGGCTTCGGTCAAGGCCAGGATCTCCTGCTCTTTGCCAGCTTCCGCCTTTTCGTCGAAAGAGACCAGGAGCCGCTTCCGGTGTAGCCTGGATAGTTCCTTCATTTGCCCTTGGATGTTTCGGATTGCCTCGTCCACCTGTGAGTCGGGGTCGGGGACCAGGGGCGGCCGGCGATTCGAAGAGTCAAAAAGCCGGGCAAGGGGGAAAAGGACAAGGCATCCTGGACAGAGGGATGACGCGGGGGCATTGGATACTTTCCCCGCACTTGGCATGCTTCTATACCCACCCGATCAACCACGTCCACCCACAGCGGTGGGAGCTGGCTGCGAGCCGCTTGCCAGTCTGTTCCGCCTTTCTCCAGGTCTTTCGGATCCCCCAAGAGGTGGGCACGACCTCTTCCATTCATTGAATTAGAAAGGGCACTGTCGTTCGAACGATGCGTAGGCCGGGCTTTCTGTGGCATGTTAAATACAAGGCATGAAGGAGAAGTTCGACATCATGGAGCTGAGAGAGCTTGTGGAGGAGGGGGGGAGGATAGGGCCTTGGAAGCACGATGGAGGAATCAAAAAAACGTGACACAACCGCACCCACGCCAGATGCCGTGCAGAATCTCCGAATGATGAGAGCGCATGATGTAGGGGTGCAAAATGTGGACATGTGCGTAGAACTTGATGCACGTGGAGGAGTCATGTGGAAGGTACGTGAAAAGCATGTGAAAAGACCGGGAATAGGGAGGGTTTTTCCCATGCTAGAACGAAACCAACAGATTAGGCAATTCACGCCCAAAATACCTTTATTTCGACCCGTAGCTCCACAAATCGTTTCGTCACATCCCGTGTCGCCATAGCTCCTGTTCAAGGTGAAGAAAGTGCGTGATAAGGGTCGAGAGGGGTGATGGGGACGTCGCCGATGATGAAAAAAGGTCAGTTGAGACCAGAAAGAACCAAAACTTAGGCTGGCACTCTACACCACGTGGCGCGTAGGCATCCAAAGAAGTAGTGTTCACCTCCCAAGGGCTACTTGACGCCGACATCAATGTGAGAATCATATAATGCGGTCCCAGCAAGTCATGCAATAAGACTTATGGGCCGCCATGGCTGTTCCTGATCTCGGCTCCGCTTTTTCGGTGACGTTGTCTCCACCACATTTATGCGCCTTTATTGCACGGTCCTTTCCCCTCCATTGTCCTCGTACCTTGCACATGCCCGCCCCCTTGAATACATCCCTGCATCGGTAAAAGGGGCTGCGCGGGTACTGCCGTTGTGGTGCTCGTGGCAAAGGTGGTTTGGATAGCGCTTCGTCTTTGATTTTGGCGACAGCCGTTTATGATCAGGCGTGACAAGCTGTGATACCCGCACTTACATCACAATCACGCACAGGAATGACCACGCACGAAGACTACATGGACGCTTCCGTGGTTGATCAGACACCTACGAACAATTTTGCCGTCAAAATTCAGCATAAATTGGAATGGCATGTGGAATCTTTCAAGGTTCAGATTCGTCGCAGCCGTGCTCCCGGCAAAGGAACAGCTTCAACAACAACCCAAACAACCAAAACTATATTGCAAAAAGTAGCGGGTTGCGCGGTCAGTGGGGAGCTTACAGCAATCCTAGGGCCCTCAGGTGCAGGTAAAACAACGCTGCTAGAATGCATCTCGCTGCGGAACAGGAATTTCGATGGTTGTGTGCAGTATGACGGGCAGGCCCCCGAGGGGAGGTTCTTCACACTCTCAGCCTTTGTCCACCAGGCAGACATGCTGTATGGCTTTCTAACACCCCGAGAGCATTTGACTTTCCACGCGATCGCTCGGATGAGCGGTGGTAGTCGGACAGCTGCGCGGGGACTGCCCGAGCCGGGTGCCTCCCAGACATCCCGTGGACAAAGCTGGCAGGCAGAGAAAATGTCTTCAGAAAGCATGGCGAGACGGGTCGAAGAAGTGATTGCGACCGTAAAACTGGAGAAATGTGCCGACACCTTGATCGGGGGTTCGGACCCCGTGTTTAACGTCAAGGGTATTTCGGGGGGAGAACGCAAACGGCTGACGATCGCAACCGAGCTTTTGCAGACGAACGAGATAATCTTCCTGGACGAGCCGTCCTCGGGCCTCGATTCAGTCATGTCGGAATCGATTTTTCAAACCCTCAAGGACTTGACGACCCAAGGCCGGATCGTCATCGCCACCGTCCATTGCCCCTCCTCCAAGACCTACCACCTCTTCTCGAACCTGATCCTCCTCACCTGCGACGGCCGCCTGGCGTACTCCGGCCCTGCCGCACAGGCCCTGTCGTATTTCCAGGCCGCGTTGGGAATTGAATGTCCGCAGCATTACAACCCGGCGGATTTTGTCCTGGAGCTGGTGTCGGCGGAACCGGGGGTGCCCCTCCAAGAAGAACTCCGGCGCATGGACGCCCTCTCTCTTGCGTACGCGCAGTCGTTCATGAAAATTCAGAACCCGCTGCCTGCCGATGACAAGCACAAGGCCTTGCACGACGTGCGTGGACAAGGTGCGAGCGATTGGGTTTTCTTCAAGCTGAACTTATGGCGGGGCGGCTTGCAGCTGGCCCGGGACCGGATAACGTTGATCCTTTGGGCCGCCGTGAGTGCCTTGATAGGTGCGCTGTTTGGGGTCCTGTACTGGCAACTGGCGGCGAGCAATTGGCGCAACCTGATGGGCCTGATCTTTTCGGCCGTGGTGGGGAACGTGTTCACGGGCTGCCTGGGAGTGGTGATGCGTTTTCCCATGGAGTGGACCCTGGTAGTCCGAGAGTTTTCCAGCGGCGCGAACGCCGTGGGCCCCTACATGATCGCCCGCTTCTTCACCACCTTGCCCCTGTCCTACGGCCCAGTCCTGATGTCTTCAATCATCTATTGGTGCACCGGCATGGATCCCGACGCCGGAACCTACCTGATCTTCGTCTTGATCTTCGTCTCCTTCAACTGGTCCTGTTTCTCGCTCGGGCAGTGGATCTCCTCCTTCTCCGCCAATCCGCTGGTGGCGATGACGATCATGCCAGGCTTTGTAACGTGAGTGCGGGAATGGGGTGTCGCGAGGGCGGGATGGGCACACGGAATCTCTTTGCTTGGTTTCTGTCCCGCACGGACACTCCAAATGAGTGCCTTGACTCCTCCATCTTTTCACCGCTTCTCCCCCGGTTTTCTGTCCTTATTTCTCTTTGTAGCCCCATGATCATGTTCTCCGGCCTCCTGATCGAGCGCAGCAGTGTGCCCGTCTGGCTGGCCTGGATCGAAGACGTCTCCGTCGTCAACTATGCCTTCGATACCTTGATGGCCCAACAGATGCACATTTTGCCGGGGAACCAGGGAGAAGTGGTGCAACAGTTCATCCAATTTAACCCCCGGAAAATGGGCTGGAATGTTGGAATGTTGTGGATCCTAACTGCAGCCTTCCAAGTGCTCACGTATGTGAATCTCAGAGTGCGTCTGAGGGCATCCCGGTCCGTCAAGTAGGGTGGGGATAGCAGGTGGAAAAGAAACCGATCCACCGAGTGGAGGAGCTGAGTGGCGGAGGACATGCCGGACGATGCAGGGGGTTTGTCGGTGCAGACATGGGAGTGCAGGCGAAGAGGGTGGGAAGAGGAAAAGCAGGGACGGGGAACGCAGGCAATGGCTACCGCCAATGCGGTTATCCATGAGCGTAGGATGAGGAATAACGACACGCGAAGAACAAGTTCGAGGACGTTTATACGGGCATCGTTAAGATGGTAAGCGCGTCAGGGACGACTGCGGGTTTGTGAATAAATCGATAGCGGATCAAGGGTGGTGATGGTATCTCCAGGATGCAGAACCACTGAGGATGCCTCCAATTCGTAGAGGTGTGGCGAGGATCATCGCATGAGTACCATACATGGAAAAGGACCACTCCGATTGTGGGAAGACCCTTCATAACGAGAAGTGTCGGGAGGATGATAACGAGTATCATGAGGACGAGCAATGTGCCAAGGACGATCGTGAGATTTTCTCATCGTTGTATGACGATAGATCATCGAGGAGTGATAAGATGGAGTTGGTTGACCTTAATCGGAGCTGTCTTACATTTAAATGTTTCTGGTAGAGTTTGGAAGAAAAGCACGCATAAGAGAGGACGAAGTGGAAGAACACAGTGAGATACGTGCCACAGAAGGTGAATTTTTGACAGGAGTAAAGAAAGGCGTGAAATGAACTCGTGGCCATTTTCTAATTCACATGCTCCTGTCGTAACCGGTGAGAAAAGACACTGTGGAGAAAGAAAGCGATAGGAACGATGATGCACAACATACATTCGTACAAACAAAACGTGGCTTCAAAGAAAGAGATGAATCGATCTCAGAGCTACCATGGTAAACCTCGTGACCTGCTCATTTCGCGACTCCCAATCGTATTTCTCAGTGCTTTTTATGGGCACGGGTCTTATGTACGTCTCTCTGTCCTTCCCCTCTTCTCGACATTCCCGCAGCAATCCTGTCGCGAACATCCAAAGGCTTGTGAGAAGGATGGAGCCACTCGTTTCTCTAAATGTGCCTCCCCTCGTCCTCATAACCCTTATGTTTGTATGTACTTCTCTTCTTTTCCCGGCTGGGGCTTTCCCCCAATCAAACATGGCCCTCCCTCCCTGGCGCTCACTCTAAGCGCCTTTTCTGGCCAGCTACCCAACCATTCCTATCATCTCTACCAACCTTTTAACGCATGAACTGAGAAAACGAACGCATTGAGATCTCAGCTGGACTCTAACCCTGCGATCACACAGACGCTCTCACAACTTTTCCTCCCTTTCCTCGACGCCTCCTTCTTCTCCCGTTCCATTGACTCCTTTTCCTCCCAATCTCGGAAGCCTCAAAGGCTGTATTTACCCGTCTTTACACACTACTTGGCTGTCGTCCCCATGCTCCACCCGGTCCTCGTCGCGGTCCCGAGGTGCATGCGGCCTCCACATTCCATCGCAGACGCCCGTCCCGCCGTGCCCATCGCATACCCCTGAAGCCATCTTCCCACCTCCCTACATCAACCCGCTTCCCAACCTGGACTGACACGACCCACACGCACCCTCACTGTGCAGTGGAGGATCTTCCGTCCACCCTTCTCCTCGCCCTCCCTCCCTCTCCCTGCCCCCTGACCCTGCGGGGCCAGCGCGGGGCCCCTCCAGGCTCCCCTTCGCCCAATCCTCTTCTCACGTCCGACCGGCTACCTCGGCCTTTGCCCACAAATACGACTCAGGGAGTGGACATTCCAGGCCCGCTACCCCTTCCTCCATCCCGTCCTCCTCTTCTTCCTCCTCCTCGTCCTCGCTCC